GACCTTTGACAGGCGCAGACCCCTCAGCCGTCGGTGGCGCAGCCCGCAGGCCCGTCCGCCCCCGAGATCATTCCACCTTCACCAGCAAAGGTCGCAGTTTGAATTTGAGGCCTCCTCGCTACATTGAGCGCCTTGTCTTTTACACAGAGGGAGAGTTGGTTGTCACACGGCCGTTTGACTGATGACCTGTCAATCGTTTTGGTAAAAATCACTGTGATCCTCCTCTGTTCCTGCCTTGACTTCAACATCGGCGACCAGAAACACTGGTGCTCATTTACTCTGCTCGGTTTATTGCAGTGCACTTTAGTGCCGTTTGTTGTCTCTGGTGCGTGATCGTGCTCTTGTCTTGTGAAGGAAGCAGGAACCACTGAATGACTGTACTTGGCGTCTGTAAAAGGTTCCGCTCTAACGCTCTTGGTTCCCGAAATGTCTGCGACGGGGAAAAAAAGTGTGAATATTTAGCAGGAGTCGTGTTTTGGGAACATGACTCCCTCCCTCCATTCCTTCCGCCTCAATTATCGGCCCCCTTTCCCGTCCTCGGGGCCTGAGCGCCGAGCAGCAGGCTGCGACTTGTGCAGGGGTCCCCGATCTCTGGTCGAAGCAGAAGAAAGGGGCGTTAAGCCCCCCCCCCCCCCCGCCCCTCAGGGCACTCACGTATAGGTGTTATATTAGTGGGGGGTGAGTTTGTCTATGACAAAGAATACTATTTTTTTTTTCTGGCAATATTAAGACCCTGAGCAGTAAGAATCACCACAATACACAGACAGCACCAATCAAAGGTTTGGGTTCACTGTCTCACTGAATTGAATGAGAAAATGTGTCCAGACCTTTGACTGGTGCTGCATAGTCTTCACAGGACATCCCCATCCCGTCCCTAGAAGCAGACACAGCAGGAAATAGAATGAGCAAGAGAACAGCAAAAAAGAGAAAGTAGACGTGTAGTTATACGCTTCCTTTAAGGGCGTGTACCCCCCTCCCTCTGTGCATCCATCTCTATCCCTCCCCCTGTCCGCCCCAGACACTTTCCCTCTGTCCTGGGCAGGGACAGCGTGGAAGGGCGAGGACAGACACCTGTCTGGTGCTCGTTTAAAGCTCATTTTACAGGCCCATTACTTCAGGGGACACACACTTGGGAGGCACGTCGATCACAACTGACCCTATTTAAAAGAACCTGAATATTTTGGCATTCTTTTGAAATGTCGTTCGATAAAACAAACGCTGAGACTTCACAGATTAGAGTTTAAACTGGTCTTTGGCTTCTGTGCTTCCTCGGGGAAACGAGATGTTTTGAGCGGTCGGTCTGGAGTTTGATACCCACCGGTATCATAAGTACATCCCCTGCTTTCTTCACAGTGTAGGAAACTGATGAGTGGAGTTTGGTCTAATGGTACGGTGACATTTCTTTGAATGTACATTGTTTTATGTTTATTAAAGGCAGAATATGACCCAAGATTTGATCTAAACATAAACTTCTTTTGGTATCATTTTTAAAGAGCTCCATGACTTTGCCCGCGCGCGTGGAATGACTGACTGATTTGACGGGAGAGGAGTTACCACACGCCACAAACGCCGACTCTGCGCTGAATTGCGCATTTAAAGCCTTTGGCTCTACTCAGATGTTACAGTGAACACATATAAGTGAGAAGGAACAATAAAGTGACGGCACATTGGCATTTCACTAACACTTTGTTGTTTAGAGGATGAAATACAGACAATCTGCAGAATCAAACCAATAAATACCACAACAAGACTTGACAAGTGCGCCATGAGGGCCGGAGGCGTCTCGGCACGCGGATTCCAGGCTCCCACTTATTGTTGATTTCAGTTTGTGTTCAAACTTACAAGTTCACACTTATTTTTGTGGTTTGTTAAAACCACACGACACTTATGCCAAATAATACAAAAATCAGTTTGTTCCATTTAGTTAACAGTCAGCATGAGGCTGTGTGACTGAGCTGCTGTAGTTTAATTGTGTGACTCCATGCGAGTGGTGTGTGTGTGTGTTTTTTTGCATTCAAGCGAAAGTCCTTAAATAAACTTGAAGTATTTTTGTGTGAGTTCGCTGGGACCCTTGTGGCACCTTTAATACCCTCTTCAATTATTTTTCCTAGAGGGGGGTCTTTGTGTTCGACAGCTTACCGCCATTTAAAATTATATTTAGGGCTTTACAGGGCAATCCTTTCACTCTCGAATAAATCAGGGTGAATTCCTGTGACCCTGACGAGGTTTCCCCCTCCC